ACATCTTCTTTATCCATCCATCTATTGATGGACATTTAGGTTGCTTCCATTTCTTGGCTATTGTAAATAGTGCTGCAATAAACATAGGGGTGCATCTGTCTTTTTCAAACTGGGTTGCTACATTCTTAGGGTAAATCCCTAGAAGTGGAATTCCTGGGTCAAATGGTATTTCTATTTTAAACATTTTGAGGAACCTCCATACTGTTTTCCACAATGGTTGAACTAATTTACATATCCACCAACAGTGTAGGAGGGTTCCCCTTTCTCCACAACCTTGCCAACATTTGTTGTTGTTTGTCTTTTGGATGGTAGCCATCCTTACTGGTGTGAGGTGATATCTCATTGTGGTTTTAATTTGCATTTCTCTGATGACAAGTGATGTGGAGCATCTTTCCATGTGTCTGTTGGCCATCTGAATTTCTTCTTTAAAGAACTGTGTATTCCGTTCCTCTGCCCATTTTTTAATTGGATTATTTGCTTTTTGTTTGTTGAGGTGTGTTTTGGATGTCAAGCCTTTAACGGATCTGTCATTTATGAATATATTCTCCCATACTGTAGGACACCTTTTTGTTCTATTGATGGTGTCCTTTGCTGTACAGAAGCTTTTCAGCTTGATATAGTCCCACTTATTCATTTTTGCTTTAGTTTCCCTTGCCTGGGGAGATATGTTCATGAAGAAGTCGCTCATGTTTATGTCCAAGAGATTTTTGCCTATGTTTTTTTCTAAGAGTTTTATGGTTTCATGACTTATATTCAGGTCTTTGATCCATTTCGAATTTACTTTTGTGTATGGGATTAGACAGTGATCCAGTTTCATTCTCTTACATGTAGCTGTCCAGTTTTGCCAGCACCATCTGTTGAAGAGACTGCCATTTCTCCATTGTATGTCCATGGCTCCTTTATCGTATATTAATTGACCATATATGTTTGGGTTAATGTTTGGAGTTTCTATTCTGTTCCACTGGTCTGTGACTCTGTTCTTGTGCCAGTACCAAATTGTCTTGATTACTGAGGCTGAGGGAACTTTTGATTTCGGCCTTCTTACCAATCTTAGCAACTATTGTCATGGGACTGGGAAATGGTCCGAGGTTCCCTATGTCCAGGCCTTTTGAGCATTGTGCTCCCACCTAGACCTCTGTGTTAAGTGTTCCTCAGCCCAGGTCCTCATGGTCAAATTCCCCAGTAGGGACTATCAACCTCTCACTGCACCTGAATCTTCCTTTACAGATCCCCCAGAAGACCTTGGCCTCCTCCCTCCAGTCCCTACCCCCCTGTGCCATCTCCTGTCTCACCTCTCCCCTATCTGTCTCCCCCCACAAATCACCATCTTTAATTCCTCCTTTGTCTTTCACTTCAGTCCCCCCAACATCAGTCAATTCCCTTCCCCCACCTGCCTCTGTTCCCACCATGGGGACACAACCACCCACCTCTGGTCCTACTGATGTCATATCTAACTCCTCTTTTTTTGGCCTTACTCCTGCCACCCACAAGTTATACCCCACTTCCATCTGCACCACCATCTTGTCTTTCTCCTACATTGCCTCCTACCCCAACCCCATGCCATTTTATATCCCCAAGGTGCCTCCTAACTGGGCCAGCCCCCCAGTCACTAGATCCTGGGCCCAATTATTGGCCCCCCCTTCAGGAAGTGGCTGGTGCTGAGGGATTGGTTTGAGTACATGTCCCCTTCTCCCTGGGAAACCTGTCTCAGATAGAAAAATGCCTGGGCTCATCCTCTGCCAATCCAACTGCTTATACTAAGGAGTTTCAGTACCTCACTCAAGCATATGAACTCATATGGCACAACCTCCATGTAATTTTAACCTCCACTCTCACCCCTGAGGAGTGCGATCATGTCACTTCAGCAGCTTGACACTACACCAACCAGGTACATAAGTCCAACCAATCTCTACCAGTCGGGGCCATGGCAGTGCCTGCCAAAAACCCACAATGGAACTATCAAGATAATGCCACAGGTAGGAGTAGGAGAGATCAGATGGTCCACTGTCTTATTTCAGGTATGGATAAGGCAGCTCAAAAAATTGTTAACTATGACAAACTGAGATAGGTCACTCAAGAGCCTAGTGAAAACACAGCCTCTTTCCTTAATTGCTTAACCGAGGCTCTTACCCTCCACAACCATTTAAATCCTTCCTCACCACCACAGTCCACGGTCCTAGCTACCCACTTTATCACCCAGTCCACCCTGGACATTCAGCGTAAACTAAAAAAGGTGGAAGAGGGCCCCCAGACTCCACTCCAAGACCTGGTAAATATGGCCTTTAAAGTTTATAATGCCCGAGGGGAGGAAGCTGAGGCCGTTCAGGTGCAGAGGCTAAAACAGAAAGTGGCCCTTCAAACCCAAGCCCTGGTTGCTGCCCTGTGGCTGGCACAACAGGGGCTCAGAGCCCCCACCTCAGGAAACCATCTGAGACCTGCATGCCTCCAGGAGCCTGCTTCAAGGGTGGCCAGGATGGCCACTGGGCAAAACATTGCCCCAACCCCAGGCTACCAACTCAGCCTTGCCCTGTCTGCAGACAGAAGGGTCACTGGAAGTCGGAGTGCCCCCTTGGGACGAGCCATCCTCTGGTGACAGAGTTTCATGGGGGGCCGGCTCCCCCGATGGGCCCCTCCTCAGAACTTCTGGGTCTCCTGGACGACTGAACCACCTGGACTCGAGCACCCTGATCACCCTTGCTGAGCCCAGAGCTGCACTATGGGTACTGGGTAAGTCCATCTCCCTTTTGGTGGGCACAAGGGCTACCTATTCTGTTTTACCCTCCTTCCATGGGCCTTTACATCTTTCTCATGTCTTGGTTGTAGGAGTCTCTGGGACACCCTCTAAAACTCTGGAAACAGGCCCGGTGTCCTGCCTCTTCAAAGGCCGCCCCTTCACTCATTCATTTTTAGTCAATCCATCATGTCCAGCCCCCTTGCTGGAAAGGGACCTCCTATATAAGCTTGGAGCATCTATCTGTCTCCTCACACCAAGCCCCTCCAACTCTGGTCCTCGCCATCGCCCAGGCTGTTGTCTCCTCCCCTGAGCCCTCATCCGACTTCCCTATTTCCCCTGAGAAGGTAGACCCAGTGGTCTGGGACACTTCCAGTCCAGGAGTGGCCAGACACCACACCCCAGTCCTCATTCATCTTAAAGACCCCTTCTGCTTCCCTTCTCGGCCTCAGTTTCCTATTTCCCACACCCACCGCAAGGGCCTTCGGCCCATTATCAATTGGCTTCTCGCCCAGTGTCTCGTGGTTCCCACCAATTCCCCTTGCAATACTCCTATACTCCCAGTCAGAAAACCGTCTGGTGTTTATCAACTGGTACAAGATCTGTGGATAATCAACTCAGCCATAGTGCCACTACATCCAGTGGTCCCTAACCCATATACTCTTTCATCTCAGATACCCCCCACTACCACTCATTTCACAGTCCTAGACCTTAAAGATGCCTTCTTCACCATCCCCCTACATCCCAATTCCCAGCTGCTTTTTGCCTTTACCTGGGAGGATCTGGACACCCACCAAACCCAACAGTTAACCTGGATGGTTCTACCCCAGGGATTCCATGATAGCCCCCACGTTTTTGGCCTCTATGACTCTGGGTGCAGCACCCTCCTCCACTATGTAGATGACCTCCTCCTGTGCAGCCCCTCAAAAAAAAAATCTCCCTCCAAGACACAGCCTCCCTCCTTAACTTCCTGGCATAACAGGGATTTAGGGTCTCCCCCTCCAAAGCTCAACTCTCCACCCCACAAGTCACCTACCTAGGGGTGTCCCTAACCCCCGCCTCCAAGGCCCTCATAGTGGACTGTGCCACCTCCATCAGGAAACTCCAGCTCCCCACCTCAGGCGCTGTGATCTTGTTGTTCCTTGGACTGGTGGGCTTCTTCAGACATTGGGTCCCCGACTTTGCTATACTTGCTAAACCACTATATGCTGCAGCCAAAGAGACCCCCACCAGGCCCCTCACTTCCCCCTCAACAGTAGCTCATGCTTTCGAGGATTTGCAGAGTGCCCTCCTCACCTGCCCCCGCTCATGCTTCCCAATCCTCACAAGCCTTTCACCCTGTTCACTAAAGAAAAAGCTGGAGTAGCAACTGGAGTTCTAGTCCAACCAGTGGGGCCCTCATACTGACCAGCTGTCTTTCTATCCAAACAGTTAGACTCCACTGCCCAGGGATGGTAACCTTGCCTCTGAGCAGTGGCGGCAGCAGCATGCCTATCCAAGGAAGCCTTAAAACTTGCCCCTTGTCTCCTCATATTTTTTCAACAGCGACTGCCAGAAGTCTCCCGAGTTATGGTTAACCAGATGCTGTTACACCAGTACTTGCCCCTTCCCTTCGAACCACCTCCAGCCACATACCAGCTGCAACTTCCCCATGCCACCCCTCCTCAGCAGGAAGTAGCTAGAACGAGCCGGCGCCCCTTATGACAAAAAGGCTGAAACATAAGACTGGAGGTACCAGGGGAAGGGACGGGTCTCACTGGAGGAACCCGACTTGAGCCAAGTAGTAAGAGAACGGTGAATGTCACTCAAATGATTCAGCAGAAGGTCCTTAGCCATAGGTCCCACCTAGAACATGCATCACAGTACTCTCTCCCGGGCAACCCAGCATGACCAACCATCCGTGATTACAACACCCACACCAGCCAATTAGTTGTGTGCATAATACCCTCAGGGCTCTCCCAGCTCCCTTGATAAGCCTGTCGCCCCTCCTTCTGAGCGCTACTTCCCTGGCCTGTGGATTCGTGGACCAGTGAACCTCACCCGGGATTGCGCTAATAAACTTTTTTTAGCTCCTTTGTTGCTGCTTGCCTGGTCTGGTTTTGTTTACCTTACAAAGGGAAGGGTGCTTATGGCATTTGGTGGGACATTTTTCTTTGCACAGGTATAGTATGTTTGGCTGCAGTAACAAACCATAAAACACAACCTCCCAGTGGCTTCCAAACACAGCATTTATTTCTCAGGGGTCTGTGGATGAGCTGTTGTCACTCACCTGGACTTGGCTGGGCTCAGGTTTTCAGGTCAGCCTCATTTTCTCCGGTCTGCTTGTTATTCCAGGACCTGGGCTGAAGAAGCAGTGGCGACGTGAGTATGGCCCTCCCTGGTGGACCACACAAGCACAGGTAAGCCAAACAACACTGGCTGATTCTCAAGGCCTCTACTCAGACCTTGTTCACCCTCCTGTCCATCCATATTCCACTAGTCAAAACCAATCAGAGGCTCCAGGTTGGTGGGATGGAGAAATCAACTCCACATATCTATGAGAACCCCAAGTGACCCAACATTTCCAAACTTCTCTTGGGAGCTGCTCCGTAACCATCTTAGGCCCTGGTGCCCCAGACTCCATACCACAGACCCTGTATCCCAGGACTCACAATTCCTAGAAGCAGGAGGAGGCTGTGGGCATCCAGGTGAGGAACAAGATGCTCCTAGCAGAACTGTCACACTGAGAATCCCACCTAGAGTGATGCCATTCCTAGTGGGAGAGAGGAAGACCTCCTTCAAGGGTCTTGGGTCTGCACATTTCAGGAAGGCCCTGATCCCCCTTCATCCCCACAATGTGCCCTTGTAAGTCCCCTTGGTTGAATTCCAGGTTGTCATTTATCTGTCAGCCAGTATGTATTGAGGGCCTAATGGATGACAGTAATGCTGGGTTAAGGCTGGTGACCAGATGAGGTGTCATGTCTAGGTCAGGTCCTTCCTTTATGGCCTCCCCTCGACTTCCTCCTTCTCATGGAGTTGCCCCTTTAATTCTGATTCATCTGCATGATCCCCATGAAGCAAGGGACAGCCAGGCAGAGCCCAGGTTCCATTAGCATAAAACAAATGAGAAAAGAGAGGTAACTGGTGCAAAACCAAGATGTCAGAACTCTTGTCACTCAAGAAATGCATTCTAGTGCTTGAAAACTCTTCTGAACTATTTTAATTTCATCAGATTAACCAAATACTGGGAAGATTTTACCTAGCCATATGCAAAAAGACTGTCTTTACACAGCAAGCAGATAATAAATATATGCAGAATGAGTGTATAAACCTATGCAATTATGTGATACAGAAGGGGGAGCAAGTAGTGAATCATAACTAAGTGCTAACCATGTACTGGGAAACGCAGTGACAGCTTTACTGCTGGGTAACATAATCTATGATACAGTACTATTATTATCCCCCTATAAACCCAAAACATAGGATGGAAGTGTAATTTTAAAAACTCTGTAAACAAGAATAAACAGGCCCAAGCATGTGTCAAGAGTGAATGCCACCACACAGGTATCAAGTATGAGCACGAACTTGGTCATTACAGTCCTGCCCCCACCACTAACATCTGTGGAGAGTGGGCAGGTATTTAACACCATGGAGCTAATATTTGAGCGAAGCAGTTAACTAAGCATTATTTCATTAAATACTCACAACTGTCCTATTAGGGACTTTCCTTATTGCCTTTTCAGAGAATACGAAGCTCAGGGTTAGAGGAGCTAAACAATGTTCCTAATATTTGAGCTGCATATGCCTGACTCTTGAACTGGTCTATTCTATCCTGCTTCCTCTGATACTACTACTAACCTCTTTGCTTCGTGAACAGCAAAATGGATGTGTATAAAAGCACCTTGGGAAAGGCTGAAACTAATCAATACTACAAAATCAACTAAGATGATATAGAATTTCTTTACAATTTAAAACAGCCCCTCCATCATAATATCATGTCTTAATGTTTATCATATACCTGTTAAAAGAATTATTTAATGTAATCATCAAACAAGCCCATAAAGAAGGTCATGCTCTAATTTTAAGATGTTAATTTAGGCCTGCTTTTGTCAAACATTGTTAAAGTGAGTTTGATAAACTCGAGTTTAAGGACCCAAGAGATACAGTTCTGCTGTCCAGCTTTCTGTATTTAGGTGAGCTGAAAATGATGCCGGGGTTTTTGTTCGTGGAGTCGAACACTCAAGGTAGGAGAGCAAGTGAGAGGCTTTTATTTAGAGATAAAGTGAGAGGACAGAGCTCCTTGCTCACACCAGAGGGGACAAGAGAGCCCCGTGGTGCATTGTCTAGGGGGGTTATAGAGGGTTCAGAGACAAAGGGCTAGGGATGTACACCTACTTAGTGGTCCCAAAATATTTATCTTTGAAGAGACATTAAATTTCTAATTAGACATCCTGTTTATTTACAAGAAATTTACTGCTCTGATTTCCTCCCAGGATAGCAGCTTCCTGGTCTGGACTCAAGACCCTGGATTCATATCACTCAAGACTGCCCTGCTTTGCTCCCAAGGAGGCTGACTTATTGTCTGTTTGTTAAAGAGTATGTTAAGAAAGTTATTTTTTAACAAATTAGGTTTTAAAATGCAATTTCACTTTCAAGATGGAATCCTTCCTTCCTATTTGTTTTCGGCTTGCTAAATTGCCCAGGTGGCAAATCACTTGACTAGAGCTGGAGGAAGAAAAGCAGCACCTGGGTAAAGTCATAAAAATAAGCTGGGCCCCCCAGCAGGCCAAAGCAAATCCCACAATGGATTATCTTGCTTTTTTTTCCCAGAGGCCCTCACCCTACTCGGTCTAAGCCCGTGGTCCCTGTCTCAAAAACGCGGGAGCCGGATTGACTTCCCAGGTGCTGATGCCAGGCACTAGTCCAGACTCTGCGTCAGAGGGAACGCGACAGGGTTTCCACAGTTATGGAGCCATTACTTTTGCTGAACAGGGATGTAAGAACGCTGCTGAGTTACCAGAGCTCTCTTGAGGAGCTGCTCACTACGCCAGAGGTGGACTACGGCCTCCGGTCCCCGTGACTTTTCCTTTAATGTCCGTGTAAATGCGGGAGCATGGGCGCAGGCCTGGCTGGATCCAAAGCTTTAGGAGTGCTCCCGTTTTCCCGGGTGACTGGGTCGCCCCCTACTCCAAAGGAAAGATGTGTTTTTTCACTTGTTCTGCAAACGTTTATGGAGCGTCTACCATTTTCCCCGTATACATGATACTGCAGCACCACTCGAAACCCAGAGCCCGCGAGTGCGCGTCCCGGGAACTGCCAGTGCGCACGGAGAGAGCGAGGGTGCCTGGAGATCTCGCCCCGACCCGAGGGCGAGCCCCGCAGTCACAGCGCCCGGCCTGCGCGCGCCCGAGGGAGGCACGGCCCCACTTACATGCACACGCACGGGAAGGCCAGGCTCCCGCGTCCCCGGCGCTGTGCCGTCGCCGGGCGCGGGCGGGAGCTCAGTCTACAGATCGGGAGGGAGGCAGCTCCAAGCAGGGCGGGTGCCCGCGTGCGCCGCTAGTGCATATGCGCGTCTACGTCCGAAGCCCCGCCTCTGTCCCGCCCACCTCTTCTCCCGCGCGCGGGCTCCGCGCGCCCCAAGCCGCGCGCGTGCGCGCGCGTGCGCAGGTCAGGGCCCTCCGGGGGCGGCCCCGTAGACTCCAATGAAAGCGTTGCAAGGTCCCGGATTAACCCTTTTTCTGCTCACTCACTCAGAGGGCCAGTCGGGTTCCGTGCCTGCGCAGGCCGGCGGCGCGCCTTCCCCCCGCCCCGCACCGCGCATGCACGGGAAGGGGGGGTGCTGGTGGGGGTGTTCACGGCCGGCTAGACATTCTGTGCTCGTGTAGGAGGAGGGCTGCTACCATCAGGGACGTGCACGATTCCCTCCCACCCCGCCCCCTCCCCAAACTCCAAAAAAAAAAAATCCAAAACACACTGCCACCCACCGTGCCCCCGCGCCCCGCATCCATCCCGTCCGCGGCCTGCGTGCAGTGAGCGCGGGGAACCCACGGAGAGTGTCTGTGGCTGCGCCAGGCTGCAGGTAAGCGCGGGCCGGGGGTGCGGAAAGGGCCCGGGCGTCCGCGAGCCGGGCGCGGGGGCGCGGGGGCTGCCGGCCGCTGGCGCGGTGGGGCGGCCCGGAGGAAGCGCGTTCTCGCTGAGCTCGTGGGGGTGGGGGGCGCGCTATCCAGCTCCAGGATGTGCGGGCGGCCGCCGGCGGCTCGGTGCGGGCGGATACGGGCGTGGGCCGGGGCTGTGCCAGCCGTGGGGATGGGATGCCCAGGGGGGCCGCGCTGGTTGGCGAGCGGGCTCGGGCAGCCAGCCGGGCGGCAGCGGCCCCGCGCGCGCGCTCGCCGAGCCTCGCCGGCGGAGTTCATGGCCGCCCCCACTCGCACCGCCGCAGTGCACCGCTGTGGGGGTGGGGACGGCCCGAGCCGCGCTGCGGAGCGCGGTCCGCCGGGCACCGCCCCTCCGAGCCGCAGGCCCCGCTGCGCCGCCCCCAGTTGCCTACGGAGGAGGGGGCCGGGACCCCCGGACTCGCACTCCCGGAGGCTCCCGCAGAGCTCGGGCAGCCGGCCGCGCGCTGCCTCCACCCTCGGCCGCGGGAGGGCGGGGTAGGGCCCGGCGCGAGCGGGCCGGGGAGTGCGCGGGGCGCGAGCTCCGTGCTCGCGGGCGGAGCGGGGCGCGGCGCGGGACTGCGGAGTCCCGGCCACACGCCCGCTCCCGCTGCCGCCGCGGGCCCTCCGCTCGCGCTCAGAGCCGCGGCCCCTGGTCTGCTTGGGACTCCGGGCTCTGAAAGAGAAAGCGGCCCTTTCACCTCTCGGCTCCGAGGGAGGGGGCTTTTGTTTAGTAAAGAATGCACACGCTCATCCACTCCCGCACCTCCCGGGCCCAAAGCGAGGAGAGCGAGGCCTGGAGAGGCTCTGAAGGCTCCGTGGGTCTTGAGCCTCGTTCCCTGCTTCCTTTGCATCCCGAGTTGCTAGCTTGCAACCGGGAAGTGATGCCGCCATTGTCGCGGCTGCTGCTTATGTAAGTTTGACTCGCTGGAACACCCCCCCCCCACCCTGCTCTGTATCGGCGGCTCCGCGTGCCTGCGGGGCGGAGAACATAATAAAGGGGCAGCTTTGCTGTGGAGGAGTAGTTGGGGCCACATCTCTTCCTCTACTTACAAAGATACAACGGTAGCTAACAGTTTGACTCACCTGAACTTAGTTGGAACATCTCAGTTGAAAAAAGTGGTCCACAGAGATACTGAGGGGGCCAAGTAACACACCGGCTAAAAAAGAATAAGCATGCAGATATGTTCGCGTGCGAGCTGTAAGGCCGCCCCTCTCCCTAGTCCCAAGTATTTTTATCCCACAAGCCCTAGGGAGAATTACTGACAGCAGTAGGAAGTAGCCGGTAGGCTTTGCCTGGCTGCCTTCCCTTAGGGGTGACAGCTGGCCGGGGTGCACCTAGGGATCCAGCAGAGTTGGAAGCATCCTTAGACAAAATGTTGCCCGGCCCTCACACTGTGCAGATGAGAACACCCCCAACCTTTCATCCCCCGCTACTTTGGGCAGCTTATTGGTGTGTGCGCTTTTCGGTAGAGGGAACTTTTGATGGTTTTCAGGATGTCGGTCTCTAGGTTCGAGTCTTGCACCACAGTGTATGTAGTAGCACTATTGCAGCCCAGTCTCTTGGTCGTCCCACACCGAATTTACGTGGTCTCTGTTCAATAGAGGAGTTTTTATGTTCTTCAGGATATTGGTCTGCAGGATGGAGTTTCTCTGCTAAGAGTTAAAACTCACAAAAAGCTAGAATTCTTCGAGCTTCCCTGGAGGGATAGAGGTGAAAACACCTGGATTTCTCAAAGACAAGCTTAAAGACCAGTATAACTCAAATGATGTGAGCTACATCCCACAAAAGTGTGGAAAGAAAGACCTCCCTGTTCTCTCTCCTTTAATGTTAACTGTTGGGTATGTGTACTTCCATAACTTTATGTATTTATTTTAAAAATGTACACTGTATGTCTACATATGAGTCTAAAGAAAAATGTGGAAGGCTGCATACCCAGCAGGAAATGGTGGGGGTAAGGGGCACTTACTGTCATTTTCCGTATCTGTGTTGCTACCAACATCTGTACAGACACAGACATGGGCTTTGTTTGTGAGAACTTGCTTAGTAGTTCTCCAACTAGTCCTTCCAATCCCAGTGTACAACCCTCCACACCCCAAAGTGCCACAGCCCTTACCTGTTCTCCTTCATATCTGTTCAGCTGGACCTGATGCTGCCAGTCACCCTCCTCTCTGTTCCCAACCTGAAAATGGGTACATGTGCAAGTGGCAGGACAAGAAAGGAAAGTTTATTTTTTTAAATCAATTCTTGAAAACATTCCTGTTTAGAATTTGGGATAGAGGAAGATCCTACCTTACTCTTGTGTGTCCTTTTCTCTTGTAGGACTGGCCTGTCCCTGATCAGAGTTATTCTGATCTGAAGAATTTGGTGTTTAAAGCATTAAGATAATAGCCTGAATTGTTCATGGTAACTATAACTTTGGATACTAAATCTTGCAAATATGGTTTGGTTTTTGCTTTAAAATGTATTTGAATTCATTAGCACATTTGGTTCCTTTGGGGGCAATGTTTATTTTTCTCATATTTGTACTTTGTTGAATAATGGGGAAACTGTTTTGGAAACAAACATAGAATACATTATTTTAAAAAGATCACTTCTTTAAGATGGTGTCACATGTCTTTTGTGCCAGTTCCAAATTCTTGTGCTTATAAAATACTCACAGCACTTGTCATGTACATACAATCTTGATGGCACTTTTATTTGAATGGCAAATAGATTGGTATCCAGAGGTAGTGAAGCCGCTCATCACTGTCATCCCAAATGCTATCTGACTTTCTGAGGGTCATATCAAACCTTAACCTTCATTCAGAAGTGGACTAAAACTGGTGATAAGAAATGAGAAGAACACTGAGTAGAATGTTTTGGCATTGCTATCCCTTTCTAGTTCTGCAGCAGGGATTTCTCTTTTCTGCCAAGGAAGTAGGACACTGGGTACCATTAGCTATTTCACTAAATCCTCCTCACATGGAATCAGAGTAGATGCAACAGACAGTGCTAGAGAATCCTTAACCTCAAACCTATTTCTTAAACCTTAAAGTTTTGTCATTAGCTCTAGTTGTCCGGAAGCACAGGTTTTAGAACTAGATTACCTGTATTTGAGTCTCAGATTCCACTAAGTAATTAGCATATCAGGCAGGATCCTAATCTCATCTGTAAAAGTGGGATAGTAATAGCAGCCTTATTAGGTATTGGTGAGGACACGTGAAGCACATAGTACAATGCCCAGCATGTATTCTGTGCTCTATAAAAGTCGCTCTTGTAATAGCTAGGCCAGCACTTAGTAAACTGAAGGTAAATGGAGGTAATGATATGGAAATCCCTCAGCTGGGATCAGTCTTCTACTCACATTTTGAACCATTACTACCACTGACTTTATGAAATTGTTAATACCAAACATTGATCAGAAAATGAAAATCTACCTGTGTTTTCTGTATGGAAAAGTATTGTTCATAATTACCAAATGTTCTTTTTAAAAATTTTTCGTAGGAGTTTTTCATCAGTATGTCTGAAACCATTAAATATAATGACGATGATCATAAAACTCTGTTTCTGAAAACACTAAATGAACAACGCCTGGAAGGAGAGTTTTGTGATATTGCTATCGTGGTTGAAGATGTGAAATTCAGAGCACACAGATGTGTTCTTGCCGCTTGCAGCACCTACTTTAAAAAGCTGTTCAAGAAGCTTGAGGTTGATAGCTCTTCAGTAATAGAAATAGATTTTCTTCGTTCTGACATATTTGAGGAGGTCCTGAACTACATGTATACAGCAAAGATTTCTGTGAAAAAAGAAGATGTCAACTTAATGATGTCATCAGGTCAGATTCTCGGTATCCGATTTTTAGACAAACTATGTTCTCAGAAGCGTGATGTATCTAGTCCCGATGAAAATAATGGCCAATCAAAAAGTAAGTATTGCCTCAAAATAAATCGCCCCATTGGAGATTCTGCTGACACTCAGGATGATGACGTGGAAGAAATTGGAGATCAGGATGACAGTCCTTCTGATGACACGGTAGAAGGCACACCCCCAAGTCAGGAGGATGGCAAGTCACCTACAACGACGCTCAGGGTTCAGGAAGCCATCTTGAAGGAGCTGGGGAGTGAGGAAGTTCGAAAAGTAAACTGCTATGGCCAGGAGGTAGAATCCATGGAAACCCCAGAATCAAAAGATCTGGGGTCCCAGACCCCTCAAGCCTTAACCTTTAATGATGGAATGAGTGAAGTGAAGGATGAACAGACACCAGGCTGGACAACAGCTGCCAGTGACATGAAGTTTGAGTACTTGCTCTATGGCCACCATCGGGAGCAGATTGCCTGTCAGGCATGTGGTAAGACATTCTCCGATGAAGGCAGGTTGAGGAAGCATGAAAAGCTCCACACGGCGGACAGGCCATTCGTTTGCGAAATGTGTACGAAAGGGTTTACCACGCAGGCTCACCTGAAAGAACACCTGAAGATCCACACGGGGTACAAGCCCTACAGCTGTGAGGTGTGTGGGAAGTCGTTTATTCGCGCCCCAGACTTAAAGAAGCATGAGAGAGTTCACAGTAATGAAAGACCGTTTGCATGCCACATGTGTGACAAAGCCTTCAAACACAAGTCCCACCTCAAAGATCATGAACGAAGACACAGAGGGGAGAAGCCTTTTGTGTGTGGCTCCTGCACCAAGGCATTTGCCAAGGCATCCGATCTGAAAAGGCATGAGAACAATATGCACAGTGAAAGGAAGCAAGTTACCTCTAGCACCATCCAGAGTGAGACAGAACAGTTGCAGGCTGCAGCCATGGCCGCTGAGGCGGAGCAGCAGCTGGAGACAATAGCCTGCAGCTAGAGGTGACCGGGAAGGAGCCCTGTGCCTGAGCCCTGGAGACTGAGGTTGCATTGTGTATAATCGAACTTCAGACACTGTATTTTTGTTGAAACTTACGGAACATTGTACTCACTGGACTTAAGGCAGTACTTGGTTAGGTATTTCTAAACTTTTCAAGGAAATGTTCCTTATTCCGACCAAACAGTTTCACTGTCTTGTCTGGTGTCTAGTAGTAATGTTGCCATACACCCCACTCCTCTTTTTTACGATTTTAATTTGAGAGCTCCCATGTCCAGGTCAGAAGGGAAGACTCCTGTTTTGTATTCCTCCCTACAGCTGCGCTGGTGAGTGCACTGTACAGAGTGATAACTGAGTAAATTGATTTCCTAATCCTCACAATTGTATGTGACTCGTGGTCAAAACAGCATTTTTAATAACTTAATAAAAGTTCTTCACGTAGATGCAAAAAATCCTGGTGGATGGTTGACCAAGAATGCTGCGCAGCTATGAAAACAAGTTCTGGAAATGCAGAATGGTATTGGGTTTATATTTGGTGTGTTAATTTTATATCACTGTTTTTCACTGTTTTGTGGACAAATAACGGTTGCTTTGCTGAAGTGTCTCTTCATTTTGACTGCCTGTACCTGCCTGAAAAGATGGAAGTCATAAGTCCCAAAGGTAGAGTAAACCCACGAGGATGTGGGTGCTCTGGGGGCTGAGTTTTTTGTTCCTCTTACTTGGGGCATTGCCCCTTTCTGTGGAGTTTGTAGAGTGGATGGGTGGTGGGAAGAATAGAAAAGGGCGAATAGGCACCTTGCTGTCAGAGACAAGGTTTTCACATTTGCAACAATTCCAAGATTTTCTAGACCAAGGGAATTCCTAATTGATTTTGAAATTGGATTTTTTTTAGGATCAAAATTAGGACAAGAATTGATATGCTGCTTTAGCTACATTGGTGTAACTTAACAGAATGTCGTCAAGCTTTTGGACTCTCTGCAGCACGATTTATCCATAAAGCAGATGTAATATCATTACTTAAATTAATAAATTTAAAATTCTTTAAGTGTGTAAATAGTATGGAAGTGTTGGTATTATGTATTTCAAGTCAAAGTAGACAGCTGCACTTTTTTTGCACATTGGAGTAAGATAGCTTTCATCAACAACAAGTATCAGTCTGTTTTTAACCAACATTAAAGATTGTCAGACCAAACATTTATTTTTCTGAAGTATATTTCATCACTGGCTACACTTTTAAGTGGACGTTGATTGCCTTTTCATATCCGTGAGCAATTATAAGCACTGTTCCATTACTGGTGTATGAAAATTTTTTTAACCATTTCTTTAGAGTCTATTGAAATACCAAAATAGTAATAAAGTATTCTAGAATGTACAATCTTAGAAAAATGCCATTTTTAAAGTTTATTTTTGGTTGCTAGGATTTTCTTTTTTTTTTAAAGATACATTAAAGTGATTTCATTTCATAGCTTGTTGCATTAACACCTCTAACTACTATTGTGGGAGAAATTTCATTTTTCCAGTTGGTGTATGTGTTATGCCCAAGATTGTAGGTTGAAGATGCTGCCTTTTTAAGAAACTTATTTATTGATAAAATGTTTAATTTAGTTTAACATTAATTTAATTTCTTTCCTTAAAAGTTGTTAATTCTGTCCTAAGAGTAGTCGTGTCACTGTATTTAGATGCTGTTAATAGAGAGGGATGTCCCTAGACTGTTTTAACCAAAGCAAAGGGAAAATCTTGTTGATAGCTACTTCAACAAACCATTTTTAGGGCCTTCATTTTTACACATAAAATATACTTCTATCATTCCTGTTTTCACTTTTTCATAGCAGCCTTTCACACATCCAGGTTTCTACCAAAGTACATTTTCTGAACTATCTTCGTCATGGTTTTATAAAGTAAACACATGCTCTTAACCCCCACTGAAACAACATAATCACGGCGGTACCCCCAAAAAGAAAGTTTAATTTTCAGCACTTTACTTGTATAATGTAAATATTTATCATTTATCCTATTGTGCATGAGAAATATATTTCTGTTAAAATTCCTACCACTGGTACTGGGTTCATAGGTGTGTTAGGGTGCATATTTTGTTTTCCTGGTGGCAGCAAAGTCATGGCGCGGTACCTCTCCCATCTCCTGGTCACTGAGACTGCCTTTCCCCCCGCCCAGTTGGCTTTAGTAGCTCCCTGGATGATGAAACCGTCATGTTAGATAGCTCAAGGGTGCCTCCAACCACAGGGAGTTAATTCTGAAATGTGCTTACACTGAATCTGCAGTGTGAGTGGGGAGGAAATTTTAAATGTCCAATGTCCACACTACGACCTTTTCCTTATTTAACTCACCCACTTTTTCCTGTTTGTTCAGAGAATATCTGCGAACTTGATTCTAACTTTTACGGCAAGCTGCATTATACAGGCAATGACTAAGGAAGGAAATTTTAGGAAGTCTAAATTTTAGGTAATTGCCTGCTAATTAACTTGATCACAGAATTAGAATTGTTAGAAATTACAGAGATCACCATCAAGTGAGTCTTACAAATACCTCCTATTTTGGTCAAAAAAAAAAAGATTGAGATGGAGAATCATGCAAGTTCATGTAGTTTCCAGTGTTATAGATTATGTTTTGTAAGACTCTGTAGCTCAGGCTTTCAGGTGTTGCGAACCTGGAATTCATTTTCCTGAGTAATGCTGTTCGTGGTGATTAGTTCCCAGAGCCACCGTAAAATTTTCTTTCTGTTTAAGTGTAGCAGAGTTAGTATAATGAGGGTTCTAGTCTTGAGTTCTGAGTTGTAGGATTTGGGAGCTGAGGCTTCCAGAGAAGAGAATGGAGAACTCTCACTTTCTGTTGTTTACCTTTTAACATCTATCCCCCTTTATGCATTGCCCAAACCCCCTGCATCTCCACACCCCACCAATATGGGAGACAAATAACATCGGCCTGAAGGCAAGGTAACCATTGACAACCATGCTTTGAGAGGAGAAGGCCTAAATTTAGAAGACCCTCATGCTTACTAGTAATGCTTATTTAAATCAACAAGGACTTCCAGTGATGGCCCTGCCTCCCTGCTGATCGCACTGTCTTGAGACGACAGCTCTAACTGCTCATTGTTTCTTGAATTTTGTCTCTGTTTTTGCATTCCCACTTGTAACTGGGATCTTTCCCTTGGAACTATTCACAATAAGTTAAATCCTGCATCTACTTGACAACACTGCAGATGTGTAATGATAAAATGTCATTTAACAAACATGTATTGAGCATCTTGTGTGAGGCCTTTTGTTGGATCTAGAGGTACGAAGGCAGAAGAGATTTGGCCCCTGGCTAGCAGATTGTGCTTACTTTCCCAGTCTTGGTTTAAGAATTCTTTTTTAATTGAGGATCACACCTGTCCATCGTCTGTTATCCACGATTCCTTAAAGGCCACCATACTTATCTCAAGGGCCCTGAATGTAATGTATCTGGATTATGACAGATTTCTGCAGTTTCCTTTTCATGATCTTTTCGGATACTTGCCATTACCCATATTCATGTAAATCTTTTCAGTATAATAAGGAGAAGCGTCGTTTAGTGGAAAGACTTGGAGTCAAACATGAATTAGGTCCTCTGCTTATCAATCAATACATTGATCTAGGCAACTTCTTAACTGCCCTGAGCCTGTTTTATCATTTCTAAAATAGTGATGAGGATTTCTGCCTCATGGTTTGCTGTAAAGATGAAATGTGATAACCAGTACAAAATACTTAGTCCAGCACCTATCACTTTGTAGATAACACCATAAACATTCCCTTCTTCCTAAAGAGCATTCTCAATAGAGAAACAAGCAAAATTTTTGACAAGACATCTGCAGGTTCTGTAATCATTAGCCCCTAGCTTGTAGACCTAAACCTCATCTAGTCTTCCTAACAGAAAATATCTGCAGAAACTGTCTTTATTCTAGCGTTCTGTATTCTGCAGTCCATTTGCAGCTTTATTCTCACAAACTCATGTATTCATCCTAGAGCTGTCTTGGTGTTTGTAATCTCTAATCATTTAAGTAGGTTGTGGTCCTGTAGGCAAATGTAAACACTAGCCTCTGGGTGGCTCCCTGCTTTTTGGGAATATCTGTGATGGCAGAGGAAGAATTACAATTTTGAGAGCTGGCTTTTGAGTTTCATGTATGAAAATCATGCACTTTTTTTCATATGTATATATCTGCTTTTCTAAGATTGAGTGTATATTTCAGACTAAACCTTTTCCTTTCTGGTTGTATGAATTCCAAGATGATCTGTAACTTCTCCCTAAAGGGGCTTTTATTACACTGCTACCCAAGAATTCTGATTTCCCTTTTAGTTTTAGAATACAGTTTACTGAATCACTTTGCTTCTCTTTGGAGGATATTTCCATTAATCATGCATATAGAGTAAAACTAAGGTATATCAGTCAACAAACGTTTATTGAATGTCCTTTATATGTCAGGCATTGGTCTAGGTGCTAGGCATACAATAAGACTGACCCCATTCCCACCCTCAGGAGCTTAAGATCCAGGGTGGAGGGAAATGATTGCCTTTCAAGTTTGACAAAATTTTACAAAGATTTACAAATTAATGATCTCAAATATACAAAATGCTTTTCAGAAAAAGTCTGCTGTGGCATGTATTTTAGTCCAGTTCATGGAACATACTTTAGAGAGTCATTAAGGGTTTTTAAAAAATACTCCTGAAATTTGTAATACCAAAAGAAACATTCCCAAATGTCTTTTTTAATCTATATACTGGGAAAATGTATTAAATAGAATGAGTCTCATTTTCTCGCATTGATAATTTTGGAAAGAGGAATGATACTATGAGAATCAGGTATATTTCTTAAAAATAATGGATGCTGTCATCCAGAAAGGGTCCAATGCAAAGAAAATTAGGAGAGTAGAAGAACAGTAATTTGGACTTCCACCAGCTTTGAACAAGGATATAAATAAATACAGGTTCAAAGGGAGGGAACTGCGTAAGCAGTACAGAATAGTCTCACAGCTCTGTAAATACTCCCTTAGAGGCCACCGAAGGCTAGGATGATAATCTGCATAGGGTGGCTAATGGAAACCTGGAAAGGAAAGCTATTTCTTCTGGTGGTTTAAGATCACCATGAGGTGGTCTGCCATTTTGGTGGAATTCTTCTGGTGGTTTAAGATCACCATGAGGTGGTCTGCCATTTTGGTGGAATTCTGCAAAAGCATCCTGTGCTACTAAGCTTATTTGGAATGTGGTCATTTTCCGTTTTCAATCAAGGGCAGAAGCTTTATGTAGAGGATTTCTGTGTGTGATTGTTATAGGTCCTCACTGGGTTCTTTGCTGGTTTGCTTTCACTTCTCCCTTTGAACCTCGGGCACTGGATAGTTGAGTAGATCAGGAATTTAATAATAAAACCTGGTATATATTGAATACTTCCCAGGTAGCAGCCACTCTATACACAATCTCTGTATGCTTTGTGACAACTCTGAGGTACACATCATTACTGATGAAAACACTAAGATTTAAAGAAGTTAAAAATCTTGCCAACATCAAGTTAGAGCCAAGGTCTTCCTGTGTCCAGAGCCTGTGCTTAGTAGTCATGTGTCTTACACCCTGTCACCAAGAAAGGAGCAACTGTGGCCTTGCACGCATCCTTAACCACTTCAGTTGGGTTTTAGGGAGATGGCAAGAAGAGGGAGAGCACCTGGACGATGGAGCAGGTAACTGGAGGAGAGGCATTTATACGAACAGCTGCCCCTTGGTTTCTATAATCAGTCAGTCCCAATATCTGTATTTCTCCCAGACATTTCACCTGCAAGGGGCCAAATACTAAGCCAACAATGTTTTACCTTGCTTCAGGCCTAGAGGCTGTCCCCAAATAATACAGAAAACTGCAGATACAATGTCATGGATAATTGCAATGTAACACAAACCTACACTTGGGCTTTCTTCACATGTTCCATTATGCAGTGAGCCAGGGAAACCCCATCAGACAAAAGGCCATCTAGTTTGGTGCCAAAATTAACTCTCTGTTTGTAACAGTGATTATCTATATTAGGAGATTCCCCCACCC